AAGGTTGGGCAATCCTACTTCCGTAGTGATACTGCCTCAGAAACCCAAGGAGGGGTCGCTATGAGTCGGGGCCGACTCGACGGCACATAACAACAACAACGGGGCAAAGAAGGTGTGTTTGTGTGTATGACATGAAGTGATAATGTGTGTTGGAAGGTGATATGTATATAAGAGGGTGTCTGAATATAAGGTAGGAGCTCTGGTAGTGTAGTGCCTAAGGCATTTGACTGCTAACCAGAAGGTAGGTGGTTCAAACTCACCAGCCACTTCTCAGAAGGAAAACTGGGCAATCTACTTCCATAAAGATTTACCACCTTGGAAACCCAAAAGGGGTCGCTATGAGTCAGAATCTACTTGATGGCAGTGAGTTTGGTTTTTTTTGGTGTGTAAGTTATGTGGTACGTGTGGGAGATCTGAAAGTATGTGTGTGTATGTGTATGTGTGAGGAGAAGGTATCTGTGAGAGAGAGAGTGTATGTGTGAGGAGAGGCATCTGTGAGTGTGTATATATGTGTATATAGGTATGTGGTAGAGTTGTGTGGTATATATGGAGATACGTGGGATTATACAGGGATGTGAGTATGTGTGTATGAGAGAGAGAAGATATCTATGAGTTTTGTGTGGGTAGCTATGTGGTTTGGATAGGGGTATGGATTATAGAGGAATAGAGAGAGAGTGTTTCACTGCTGTTCATAAAGAAGAGAGTGAGTCAGGGTTGTATTCTTTCACCATGCTTATTGAGTCTGTATGCTGAGCAAATAATCTGAGAGGCTGGACTATATGAAGAAGAATGTGGCATCAAGATCGGTGAAAGATTCATTAACAACCTGCAATATGCACACGATACAACCTTGCTTGCTGAAAGTGAAGATGATTTGAAGCACTTACTGATGAAGATTAAAAACTGCAGTATGGATTACACTTCAACATAAAGAAAGCAAAAATCCTCACAACTGGACCAATAAGTGGCATCACGATTAATGGAAAAAAAAATTGAGAAGTTGTCAAAGATTTCATATTACTTGGTTTCAAAATCAGCACCAATGGAAGCAGCAGTCAAGAAATCAGATGACATATTGCACTGGGCAAATCTGCTGCAAAAGACCTCTTTGAAGTGCTGAAGAGCAAAGATGTCTCTTTGAAGACTGTTGTTGTTGTTGTTGTTATGTGCCGTCGAGTCAGCCCTGACTCATAGCGACCCCTCCTTGGGTTTCCGAGGCAGTATCACTACGGAAGTAGGATTGCCCAACCTTCCTTCCGAGGAGTGGCTGGTGACTAAGGTGCCCCTAACCCAAGCCATGGTATTTTTAATAGCTTTATTTGCATCTAAAAGCTGGACAGAGAATAAGGAAGACTGAAGAAGAGTTGATGCTTTTAAGTTGTGGTGTTGGTAAAGAATACTAGAAGTACCATGGACTGCCAGAAGAACAAACAATTCTGTCCTGAAAGAAGTGCAGCCGGAATGCTCCTTGGAAGCGAGAATGGCCAGACTTTGTCTCACCTACTTTGGTCATGTTGTCTGAAGGGAACATTTCCTAGAGAAGGATATCATGCTTGCTAAAGCAGAGGGTCAGTCAGTGAAAAAAAGGGAAGAGCCTCAACAAGATTGATTGACACGGTGGCTGCAATGATGGGCTCACGCATAGTAAGAATTGTGAGGCTGGCGTAGGACTGGGCAGTGTTTCATTCTGTTGTACACAGGGTCACTATGATTTGGAGCTGACGCCACCAGCACCTAACAAGAACAGCATGAGAGGGAGAGAGAGAGAAAGAGAGAGAGAGAGAGTAAAAGGTATCTGTGAGATATCCATGTTTATGTGGAGATATGTAGTATGTATGGAAGCATGGGGTTGTAGAAGCATATGTGAAGCATACGTGTTGTGCTCAGAGCTTCATTGGCATCAAAACCTGTACCTCCATTTTATTTTCTCCCTAATCACCTATTCAGTTTCTCAGTTTGAAAAAAAATTTTGTTCAACTTTAGATCTGTCTGCCTCTCGGTTGTCCAAAGCCAAGGAAATTGGGGCAGATCTTATCCTCCAGATTTCCAAAGAGAGCCCTCAGGAAATTGCCAGTCAAGTGGAAGGTCTGCTGGGATGCAAGCCGGAAATCACCATCGAGTGCACAGGGGCAGAGGCTGCCATCCAGGCGGGCATCTATGTGAGTGGGATGAGGACACTAGGGTTGGTGGGCAGCTTTGGGGAATCTGTGAGTTAGTGAACAGAGTAGAAGTAAGGTTTTCTGACACCAAGCTTCCCCTCTGACTTGCTCTGTGAGCCAAAACAAAATTAATCTCTCTCCTTTATATTGTGATTTAGGTGAAGATTACAGAACAAATCAGTTTTCCATTCAACAATTCATACATATTTTGTTTCATTCCATTGATTGCAGTCCCCACAATGTAACGTCCTCATCCTGCTTCTTCCCTGTGTTTCTTATTTCTGTTCCTCCTTCTTTCTTATCCCTTCCTGACTTTTGAATTTTGTCTTTGGGCAGATGCTACTCTTTGACTCTTGAATGGCTGATTATTCTAAAGAATACATACTTCCCTAGTGTTATTGTTCACCTCATAGGTTTGTCTGTTGTTTTGCTGAAAGTTGAGCCACAAGGTTGAGTTCATTTCCAAGGTTGAAGGATGACTAAGGGCCATAATCTTGGGGGTTCCACCAGTCTCTATCTGACTAGTGAGTCTGGTCTTTTTTTTTTTTATGATTTTGAGTTTTGTTCCATATTTTTCTCCCACTTTATCCAGGACTTTTAATGTGATCCCTTTCAGAGCAGTTGGTAGTGGTAACTGGGGATCGTCTAGTTCTTTTGGTCTCAGGAGGCTGAGGTTTGCATGCTTGATTAGTCCTTTGGATTAATTGCTTTTGTGCATGTCTGATTTCCTTTATTCTTCTTTGCTCAGGACAAGGAGTCACCAGTAGTTGCACCTTAGATGGCCCCCACAAGTTTTTAAGTCCCCAGTAGCTATTGACCAAAGTAGGTTGTGGAACATTTTCTTTGTGGACTCTATTGTGCCAACTGACCTTGATGTTGCCCGAGACTATGGTCCTGAGCCCACAGGCCCAGCAATTCATTCCCTCAAGGTGTTTGGTTGTGGCTAAGAAGTTTGCATAACTTTGTCCCCTTTATGTTTTACTACATTCATAGATATATTGGTAACAAAAACAAAAACCCAACTTACTGCCGGCGAGTCAGATCTGACTCATAGCAACCCCTCCTTGGGTTTCCAAGGTGGTATCACTATGGAAGTAGATTGCCCAATCTTCCTTCTGAGGAGTGGCTGGTGGGTTTGAACCACCAGCCTTCTGGTTAGCAGTCAAATGCCTTAGGCACTATGCCACCAGAGCTCCTAGATATATTGGTAGTCTATGTAAATACATATATAGAAATATCCTCTGTCATAGACTAGAACCCTCATACACTATTAGTGGGATTGTAAAATAGTACAACCAATGTGGAAAACTGTATGGCGCTTCCTTAAAAAGTTGGAAGTAGAAATACCATATGATTCAGCAATCCCACCACTAGGTATATGTCCTACAGAATATAAGAGCTGTGACATGAACAAATATATGCACACCCATGTTCCCTTAAGCACTATTCACAATAGCAAAAAGTAGAAACAACCTAAATACCTATCAACAGATGAACAGATAAACCAACTATGGTATATACACACAATGGAATACTACACAATGTTAAAGAATACTGATTAATCTGTGAAACACCGCACAACATGGATGAACCTGGAGGACGTTATGCTGAGTGAAATTAGTGAATTTCAAAGGGACAAATACTGTATGAGTCCACCGTTGTACAAAGTCAAGAAAAGGTTTTCACACAAACAAACAGTCTTTCATGGTTACTAGGGGTGAGAAGGGAGCTCTGGTAGCATAGTGCCTAAGGCACTTGACTGCTAACCAGAAGGCTAATGGTTCAAACCCACCAGCCACTCCTCGGAAGGAAGGTTGGACAATCTACTTCCGTAGTGACACCACCTAGGAAACCCAAAGAGGGGTCACTATGAGTTGGGGCTGACTCGACAGCACATAACAACAACACAACAAGGGGTGAGAAGGGAAGGGAGGATAAATCACTAACTAGAAGATAGACACATATTAGCTTAAGTGAAGGGGAAGACAGTAAGGGAAAGATCACAAAATGATCTAGGCAGAGGAAGACAGTAGGAGGAGCAAGAGTTAAAGGCAACAGAGGTAAGTGCTGTTACATACACAAGCCTACAATAGCAGTAATAACAATAACCAGTGACTGGATATATAACTAGACACACAAGCTGAACAGGTGTGGGAAGGCGAATGAAACTGCACCCACAAACATATAGGTTGGACAAAACTAATCTCTTTGTCTTTGTTTTCTTATCTCTCTTGTAGAGATAGTAATACTTTATGTTCATTGGATTGTTGTAAAGTTCAAACAAGGACACTGAAAAAACACCTTTAGGATGAGGTAATTTTCATGATCATATTAATGATCGTAAAAGTAGTACTTCTGGCAAAAAGACCCACAGGAGAAACAGGGAACTGTGCATTGGCTGTGTGTGGGAAATCCCTTTCATGTTTTATTGAGGAAAACTGCAGTCTTTGAGACGTTTGTTAGTAAGTTATAGCCGTTAATTCAGTTAGTCACAAAGGTGAGGTGATTTTTCAGACTCACAGTTGATTACTGCTATCTCTTCTAGAACTGAGAACAGATAAGCTGCCCCTAACTAATTTGCTCATCATTGACTCCACCAGCAATTTCTGGGAAGTCAGCAAGGAGTTGGGGGAGTGGCATTGGCAGATCAAAGCATGAAGAAAACAGGGAGAAAGATCTGGAACCTAGTGAAATTAGTGAATTTCAAAAGAACAAATACTGTATGAGACCACTGTTGTAAAAAGGAACTCATAGGTTCCAAACCCTGCAGTGTGCTAGATCCTCTGTAAGGTACTTTATAAGCATGATGCCTCATCCTGCACAACAATCCTGGAAAGTACTTAACCATTTTCTACATTTTACAATGAGAGAGTCCTAGAGCACATCACTGCCTTGCCAGGCCCCAGTGCCTGAGATTTTCCTACTTGTGTCCTGCTGCTCAGGAGAGGAGGGGAAGGAGAAGACAAGGAGTCAGTGGCTAACTGTGCTGGGGGGAGAGACCAGGCTGGGAGAGCATCTGATAGCAGCTACCACTGGGCCTCCTGCCTCTGCCTCCTGTTCTGCTTCCCTACAGTAGCACAGGCTTCCTCTTTCCTTCTGAGTCATAGCTGGTTCATGTGTAAGGGTACTTTGCACCACAAAAGGCCTTCTGGGGAAAGCTGGTGCCTCAAGCTGGCCAAACCTCTTCCTACCTGGGCAACAGGGGCTGAGGAAGTGGTGAGAAGGAAGGAGGAGTAGGTGCTACTTCACCTGTCCTGATCTTCCACTTGAGTCAGCCAGCCCTCTCTTCCATTGTCAGTGGTCCCCATGTGGGAAGAGGTGAAGGGACACCAAATCTCAGAGGATTGATGCATCTGCATATGATCCATCTGCCCATAGTTTGTCTTGGGGACCTGCTGTGTACCCGGCTCTGTGCTGGGCAGTGTGAGAGCTATGACAACAAGTAAGGTATGTCCACTGTCTTCAAGCTGCTGACAGGTCAGTGACCCTACTCCACAGATAGGCACTATGAGCTGAGGGACCTGAAAGACATGGCTTCCAATGTGAGGCTTTCCTTCCCCTCCTGCCCTGCCCTGAGGACATTTGGAAACAGTTGGCATCTCTAGCTTTTGATAGTGGAAGCCTAGTTGACAGGCTACAGGAAGTAGGCATGGAGGTGAATGTGACGCCAGAGACCTTACTAGCCCCGAAGCTGATGGCCCTCCTGATGTGGAGAGTAAAACTATCATGCATGACAGATATTGCAGAATGCTATAGGCTGCTGTCTGCCAAGGGGCAGGCTAGGCGGAGGCACCATACAGGAACATAGCTGAGAATCACTTCCCTGTCAGGTTGTGACTGGACAGTGTTCATGAGGAGACGTGACAGATACTTTGGGACAGAATTGATGTCATCTCCTTGGTGCAGAGGTCACACCCACAAAACAGTGGTCAGGTAGTCCAGGCATTCCTTTGCCTGTGGTCAGCAAACTGCTGGCCTCTTGGCAGGTTGGGATGCCCAGTTTGATACTGCTTCTCATTACCTGGTAGAGAGGAATAGCTGATCTGATGAAAGACGGCGTTTCTTAGGAAATCTCTCAATAACAGTTTTCTATTGCTCGTTCCAACTTTAAACACATATACACACCAGGTTTTCCAACGAAGACAGCAATATTTTCTGGTTGGGAGATATTTTTCCCCTTACTGACAGTGTAGTGTATGTTTGCAGATAGTTTGTAAGTTACTTCAATAAAAACATAAAACGCTACACTTTGAACCCACACTGGTGTTGAGTGCCATTGTTGTTAATCCTTTAGCAACCCTACTAGGGAGGCATCATCAGAAGGGGCAGTCAGGAGTCACCTCCATACTGCCCAGACCCTGAATTCTGCCTCTTGCTCCCTGCATCACAGGCCCATCTCCATGGTGTATCCTTCACCTGGGAGGTACAAAGTGCTGGATGCCTGTTGGTAACTCCACTGCTCAGCGTTTAGAATGGTCCCAATTAGTGCTTGCCACTGATGATGACTATAATGGAAACTTCAAGTGAGTGTATTGTCCATTTTTCTGTCTGCTACAACATCCAGCACTGTGATCTCCAAAAGTCTCCAGAACAGGCATAATACCCTTGCAAAATTATGTGGAAATTGTCAAGAGAAATTTCACTGCCACCCTTGACCCTCTCCAAGGAGGGAATTGATAAGGTAGATGGATGTTCAAGGAAGACAAGATCATTTATGACTAATACTTTTGGGGTGAAAGTCTCTAGAACAGAAATATTTCTAAATGCCAGCCTGCATATTTAAAACTTTTGAAACCATGGTTTTCTAATAACCCTACCCATTTGTATAGGGCTTTGTAATTTTCTCATTTATCTCATTCTGGTGAGCTGATAGGCTGGTCCTTTTGAGATTTGACTAAAGTTTTTTTCTTGTAGAGGGCCACCCTAGAGGAGAAACAGGTGCTGAGACATGGAAATGACTGAAGCCAGTGTCTGGTACTGAATTAGTAAAGCTTTGAAAGGTACAGGGGCTTTAGAGATTAATTTTGTTTGTAAGGAAGATTTCCTGGGCTCTTTCCTGGGATGCTGTGGACAGTGGGAGATGTTTCCACTGTCCCTATTTCTCTGTTGGCAAGGTGTATCATCTCAGCATCTTTAAAGGACATAACATTTACTCTTTTGTTCCATTGAGTTTGCTCAAAATGTTGAAGAGTTCAGCAGTATAGAAAGAATCATTTTCTGCACTTGAGGCACTCATCTGATGCAGTCAGGAGGCATTTATGTGACTATAGTGTATTATCGGGAGTGGGAAGTCTACACTTTCTTATCTTCTGAGTTTTCTTGTTTTTTACTCCCTCTTCAGGCAACACGTTCTGGTGGGACCCTGGTGCTTGTGGGGTTGGGCCCCGAGATGATCACTGTGCCCCTGGTGCGTGCAGCAATCCGGGAAGTGGACATCAAGGGCGTGTTTCGATACTGCAACACGTAAGTGTTGTGGGTGAACCAGAGGTGGTGAGTGACCAGCCAGAGAAGGGCAGGCTCCACGTGGCATCTGGTACTGGGAGTCTCTACCTATTTATTCATGAGGGGCACTCCCTGACCACAGCGACAACCATGAGATATGATAGGGACCTAGAGAGAACAGTCAGTCCTGGTTAGAGAGTGGGAAGGCAAAGATGGCAGAGGGAGGTGAAGTGGTTAAAGAATGCTCTTGTTTGATGTCTACCACTCATCACCTCTCTCTTCCATTTTCTTAAGTGGCCAGATCTCCATTCTTCTTGGGAACAAGGAGGGCAAAAGTAAGAACTCGAGTCTATTGGCTTCTATTCCTGGGCCCCAGGGCCCATCCTGGGGAGTAAGAGGGTCTTTGTTCACCCTGCCCCATGTTCTGCAACCCCATCCTCTCCCCTCTGCAACATCCCCCCCAGCAGTGTCCCTTACTCCCAGCTGTAGTGTGTGCCTCCATTCCCTCAGCACAGCATGTGTTTTCCAGTTAACTCTGCCAAGCTAAGCTGCCAGTGGGTGGAACTGGATTATCCTGGGCTGCCTCCCTGAGGTTTATCTGCCTTTTCACATTGGCCTCTGTGTGCCTTATGCCTTAATGCTGAAAGAATTCTGAGCTTCGTGGAAGACATTGCAGAGTGGGCGCGTTTGGAAACAGGCTGTGTACCTCCAGATCACAAGTCATAAGGTCATTTCCTCCATTGTTGGTCTGTGAAATTGGCATTGCAGAATCACAGTGCTATGAATATATATGACCAACCTGGTGTTGTGCTTGGTAGTTTGGGGACCTGGCTGTTTCCCTCCTGAAGGTTAAATGTAATTGCTTGTCATCTTTTACAGGTGGCCGATGGCGATTTCAATGCTTGCATCCAAGTCTGTGAATGTTAAGCCTTTAGTCACCCATAGGTTTCCTCTGGAGAAAGCTCTGGAAGCCTTTGAAACATCCAGAAAGGGATTGGGGTTGAAAGTCATGCTGAAATGTGACCCCAGTGACCAGAATCCTTGATGTTAATTGGGCTCTGCCCTCATCCCCACCTTCTTAGCATTTCTGGGGCCAAGTGGCTGGGTTGGTGGGCTTTGATACAGAAGTTTCTCTTGAATGGTAAGAATAATTGAAATAATTCATTATGAACAGAGACCTTTACACAGAGGAAGAGATGTGCCTTAAAAACACAAGTAGGGATAGTTTGGGGGAACTCGTAACTGAATGAGCCATTCATGCTGAACAAAGTTCAGCAGACAGAGCAGTTTGGCAAGCAGGTGTCAGAAACTCCCCTTCTTCCTGGAGTGCCTTAGTTGAGCAAGGATGGGAGAATCTGCCCACTGAGTTCCTGGTTCCACCATGACTGTGGCCAGGTGGGGGTGGGGTGAATTACGAGGACACAGCTCCATCAAGACTTAACTGTCCCAAAGCTGGTTTTCATGAAAATCTGCAATTTAGGGTCTGGGATAGGAGGTGGCCAGCAATTTTAGTTTAGAGCACAGTGTTTCTGGAAATAAGGGCTATTTGATTTCTTGATAAAAGGAGATAAGGAAAGAGATTGACCTTTCTAAGATCATTTTAAAACCAATCAAACAAATAAAAACCGAATGCCATGTGAGGTCAGACCTGCTTACATACCCCAAATGTAGAAATCATCAATAGGCTTCTCATTTCTGCTTTAACATTGCCACTTTAACTCCTAAGAATTCTGCCTAATTTAATTTGTACCCTCACCCTAGGCAAACTAAATCAGGGGCAGCCACTGCAGGCTCCCTTGTCCATAGGCAACCAGGAGAGTCCTATCTAAGAACAGTCCGGGAGACCTTAAATCATGACTTGAACTAGTCCAGCAGGGTTTGATCAATGCTCCTGGCTTTTCCATCCTGTAGGATTAGCCTCCCCTTCTAGGCTCACTCTCGGACTCTTTGATGATGATTGGACAATTCCCCTTAATTCTGATTATTTTAAACAAAACCTTTCCCTTCTCATAACTAGGAAGACTTTTGGTATTTTTTTGTCTGTCTGAATGAAATCTCTGAATCCTGTGCCCGGTACTAGGATAAATCTTAATTGTGGGTTTTCTGTATAAGGTTTGGATCTAAATCACCTTATGTCTATTTGTGACTCTGAGATTGCGAATCAAAAATGAGGATATAATAGCAGTGACATAATTTGGTCTGCACCCTTTAATCTCTCACTTTACCTGTGGGTGGAGGAGAGGTTTGAAAGGTTCTGGTGTTCTCGTGATGGGTAAGGCTATGATCTGAGTCTGGAATTCCTCAAACTGCCTCAGGTAATAAATTCTGCCAGTGACTACTGCTGCCTCTGTGTAGGGAAGAATGGACACGTTACCCATTTCATAGAAGGCACGGGATTTTCAAAGGTGACACATTTTCTGCATCGACTACAGTTTTATTGACTGCCAGAAATTTATATTAATGATGCATAGTCCTCACAGGAGGCCAAATACACATGGAAAAGATGAAGTCAGGCAATTTGCTCCGGGTCACACACTGCTTTTATTCTCTCCTGTAATCTCTGAAGGAGGGTGGGGTCTGGAGACATGCACATACTTGGGCTTTCCTCTCTTGAGTCCTATTTGGCTAAGGCCAGCCTCACCAGTCACTGTCGTCGAGTTGGATCCGACTCATAGCGACCTCTCCTTGGGTTTCTGAGACAGTATCTCTACAGAAGTAGATTGCCCAACCTTCCTTCCAGCTGCCTCTTTTCAAAACTCTCCTTCTAGCTCAGGAGTTTCTTTAACAGAGAATGAAAAGGCTTCATTTCCCTTTCTAGAGAGACAATAAAAATACCCCCTGACAATAAAATGCCCCTGTGTTAAACTCACAACCTCTTTTCCTCCAATTGTGATTTGATGGAGGGAGTCCACTGATCCTGAAAAGGACTTAGGAGCTGCAGAAGGGACACCAAGAAAGTGTCTTATTTCACAACCCTGTTTGAGTCCGGATCTAAGCTAATGTCTTTGAGCCTTGTTTGTTAAATGGGCTCAATGATGACTGCCTCAGGGCAATTATGATGAGTGAATGGGCGAATTAAAAACAGCAGTTCAGGGTGTTCTTCCATTCAAATTCCCCTGCAGCTTTCAGGCTCCCTTGGTGTTTCACAGCTTCCCCAGCCAGGGCAAGAAGGGCCGCGGGAGAGAAAATGGTAGGTGGTAGGTGCTGGCTGCTCAGTGAGTCCCAGGATGGTGACGGGAGTCCCAGTCAGTATTAGTGAGCTGATAGAGGGGCTCCATGCCCTTTGCATCCTTACTGAAATGTTCCTTCCACTGCTTGGAAGGGGTTGTAGGAAGCCTGCAATTCATTCCCTCCACCATCCCTTCCTTCACTCAAACCAAAAATAAAATCCGCTGCCATTGAGTTGATTCTGACTCATAGTGACCCCCATTGGGTTTCCAAGGCTGTAAAGCTTTATGGAGTTTCATCTTTCAGGAACAGCTGATGGGTTCAAACTACTGACTTTTTGGTTAGCAGCCAAATGCCTTAACCACTACACCACCGGAGTTCCTTCCACCTTCACTAAAACACAATAAATATTGATTGACTTGAGTGAATCAGTCCCGGAACCAGGAATATAAATTCCCCATGAGTTCCCTAACCTTGGTAGGCCCAGCAGCCTTTGTATACTCTGTCACCAGTGCCTGGCACCTGATTCGTTTTCAGTCAACAGGAGGACCCCACCCAGCCGGCGTTCCTAGACTAGAGTGGGGTGGGGTGTGAGGGTGGGGAGCTGGGAAGAAGGGCCCCAGCAGGAAGCCTAGAGGATGGGGGAATAGGTTTCCATATAACCCCACAGGAGATAGGGGACATGCTGGGTTCTCTGACAACTCCCTCTTGCAGTTCACCTTTGGCCTTAGTGGATGTGGATGTAAAGTCACTACTCTTGGACTCCTAGTACTTGGTTCTTTGACTTTCTTCCCCCATTCCTGTTTTGCTCCCTTTGGGAAAGCAAAGGCCAGTGGGGAAGTTGGTAGGGCCAGAGGTGGCAGAATTTATTAGATATTTGCCTTTCTCCAGAACTCTCCCCTGCCCATGATTTCAGCCAAAAGACTGGGAAACAACACCCCATCTTGCCTTGGCAACCAGCCAGGATCTAGGCTGGGCCTGGCTATGGTGGTGAGGCTTAGTCAAGCCCACATCCCTGGGTGGGAGGCAGGTTTCCACTCCCCCCTTCTATATCCTGGGGTCACTGGGGACTCATGGATGGAGCTGGACGGAGAAGGGACCACAGTAAAATGGCTTGGCTAGAAGCTTATCACCTGAGTGAAGTAATTCAATGACAGCGAATGGTACGCTTAAAAGTGGTTAAAATGGCCAATTTTATGTTATGTATATTTTACCACAATTAAAGGAAAAGAGGGCATCACCTTGTGCTCTGTGGTCTCAGACTCCCAGGTGTGGGCCTGGGGATGTCTGGCCCATCTCTTATTCATTACTGGGAGCCACTGATTGGCCCACCTGTGCTCCACACAGGACTGGAGCCAGAATCAGCCTGGTGGAGGGTGGGGGTGGGGAGAAGGATGCCCCATCAGTGCCACTGCCCCTGCAGAGAGGTGGGCTTGGACCAGATGGTGCCTTCCAGCTCTGTGAGGTAGGATGAACCTGCTCTGGGTCCAACACCACTGCAGTGGGGTAGGGGCAGCTCCCTTTGGACCAGCTCCAGCCTTCAGGTCCTTTGGGTCCTGCCCTGACCTCACAGGCTCTGTGTACTTAAGACCACTGGCAACCATCCCACTCAGGCCTCCCCTTTCCTGTTGTCTCCCCACAGGCCTGCCTCAGCAGCCCCTCCCTGGCAGAAATCCAAAAAGACTCCTCAGCTGGCCTGAGACAACAGCTGGCCTGAGAAGTGCCCTGACTTCCCTCTCTTTACCAAGAGCACCTCTGGCCTGGGAGATACAGTAGCTGTATTTTCCCTTATCATACAAGTCTATACATTGTAACTAATAATAATCGGGCAGATAAGTAAAGAGAAAGCCATAATCTAGTCTCCAAGATTATTAATATGTTAAAGCATTTCCTTCCAGCTTTCCCCTATGAATTTCTATACACAAAAAAACATGTACATATATTTAGAAACATAAAGAGAAAATGTACTTTACATACTTTTTTTCCATTTTCACACATACATACTTTAGTTTGTATCTCTAACACATAAGGATTTTTCTTTTAGAACACACCCATGATGCCATATTATTATATCTAACAAAATTAATAATTCCTTAATAATTGGATATTGATATTATTTAATAATCTATGTCTCATTTTCCCTAATTTTCTGAAAAAGGAGAACAAAACTAAAGCCAAAAACTTTTTATTCTTAGTTTGAATCAGGATCTAAACATGTTGCCTGTGATTGACATGTCTCTTAAATCTTCTATTGTCATTTCTTCTCCATTTTTGTTTAAATGCAGTGATTATGTTGAATTTGGTAATTTATCCTCTATGTATTGTTTTACAAACCTGTTTATTTAATAAATTGTTAAATTTCTTTCTATGTCAGTAATTATGCACATCAGCATTTTTAATCACCATATCCCATATGGGTATATTAGCATTTATGAAGCAAATGCTTACATGGGTAGATCACAGCCTTTTGCCCTTATGATAAAGTTGAAATGTCCATCCTTGTGCATACATCCTTGTATTCTTATTATTTTCTGTAGTTACCTTTTAGAATGAAAATAGCTGGGTTGAAGGGTATGTACACTTTAATGGTGATCTGGTTGGACAAGAAAACAGAGTGTTGATATTGAGACTTAAGAAATCTAAGACGGGGATGCCCCGGGCCATGTATCATGTGGGAAGACACAGGATCTGGGGAGTTATTGGGGCCTGCTGCACATAGGACCTGGTGAGAAGCTTTTCGTTCTCTGGCTTCAGGCCAGTCTTGAGAAAGCTTGGGCCTCACCATCTGTTTTGGTTATCTAGTGTTACTATAACAGAAAGTACCACAAAAATGGATGGCTTTAACAAACAGAGATTTATGCTCTTACACCTTTGGTT